GCGATCCTCTCGGATGTTTTCCGGCAGATTTCCAACCCACAGGTGACGTGTCTCTCTAACCATTTTGCTCCGAACTCTTCATTTGGGATCGGATGTTGTGGTATCGTTTGGCGGCACTGTACAACGACACACAACTTCGCCCGACGTTAATCACGGCACACTCTTGCCACCACACACACACACGCACACACACAGAGAGAGAAGACAGAGCACACACACACACCACCGATATTCAATACCACCAAACACTGGGGTGTCGGGCAAAGGAAAAGCTTTTTTCTCTTTGCCGAACTTGCTTCTCTTTCGGATCGGTGTTTGCTCGTTTCGCCGCGAAATCAATAAGTAAATAATCGATCCTCGACTTCACAGCGCACAATTGATATATTCCCAATTGGAGATGAAATGAGGAGATGGAACTTTCTCGCTCGTAATTACAACTCACAACACACACGCGACAAGAAATGTAGAAACCGTTACGTTACGTGTATTCCACAGAACGAAGGAACAAGCTTCCTTCCACTTCAACACTCTTTCAATTTAATCACTGGCAACAAACAGATTATCACTAGTCACTAGCCGGAAGGTGGTGACCCCGGGCACGATGATGAGTGCTGTTGTCAGGGCAGCGCCGTGGAACGATCGGCCAACAGGATAGGATGGCTGTGAAGACCTCGCGATCGAACTTTCGGATCGTGGTGATGCACGCTGCCGACAACCACAGCAGCGATGATAGCGATAACTGTGACGATGGTGACAACAGCGACGGCGACGACACTGATGACGATGACGGCGGCGGCGACGGTGATGATGTCGATGCCGGCAGCGACGATGTTGGCGGCGACGATGATGATGATGTCGATGTCGGCAGCGACGATGTTGGCGGCAACGATGACGACGGCGGCGGCTGCGACGCCGACGACGACGACGACGCCGACGACGACGACGCCGACGACGGCGACGGCGGCGACGACGACGACGACGACGGCGACGGCGACGACGGCGGCGATATCAACCACAACAACCACAAAGAAGAGGAGGAGGAGCCTCGATAGTGGACACCACTGATGGCAACGGCTAGAAGGATCAGAACCGTCGCCGAACACCACATCGTATACCACTGAATCGCGTATGAAGAAAGACGGTTAATCACACGTCACACTAAGCACACCGGGCACAATGCGCGGGCGATACATCCCAACGCATATTTGCCAAGCATCATCACACTGCTTGATTCTCAAATCTGCTTTCGTTTCCTTGCCACCATATATAACACTGACCAACAACAACTTTTTCGGACGGCCCCACGGGACCGTCGGCACTTCAGAAAAAAAAAAAAGAAAAAGGAAGGATAAAACGATCGATCTACCAGAGGCAGACGACCGCGTTGACTTTTCTTCTCTCGGCAAATACAACGTGCAACTATTTTCTTTTTCACTGCGCGCACGAGACACTGTATTCCTTTTCTTCTCTGTTTTCCCCCTTTACCTCGACTTTTTTCCCTTTTCTCATACTTCACTAACGCACGTAAAAGACGATCCTTTCACATGTCACTGTATCATCACCGCTTAGCATCGCGTCACTCGGAATTGCAAGTCGGTCGTTTTTTTTCGTCGGTAAAAGCGAAGTGCGATTTTTCTCTATTCTTTGTTTCTTTTTCTTTTTGCTTTATTTGTTTCTTTTTCTTTCGCGATCGAATGCGTCGTGTCACATAACAACGTCGTGTTAATCAAGGGAATCAATGGATACGTTTTGGCTGGACTCGATCGCTACACGATACAACACGTTTGTATATGTACGTCTCAACGCACTCGCTTCGCGTTTACTCAAGCCATGTAACGCGGATGGAGCTTGGCTTTTGCTCCTTCTCACTGCACTACACTACTCAGAGTGACGTCACCGTGGCGGGAGCGTAGTATGGCTCGCCGGCTAGTTCGGTTGTCAGCCGCCTGGTGGGGAAGGCCGTGTAGGGGAACGAAACGAGTCTACCTCGGAAAGCGGCGACTTGCAATCGCGATCGTCGCCCGCCAGCCGGTGAAGTGTATCCCTGGTGGGGAATAGACGGAGGGGCGGGGGAGGGGGGACTTTCCGTACGTCCCTGGAGGGGAGAAAGAGTGGTGGGACTCGCGTTCGAATCGAAGCAAGGACAGGTAGGGAGAGAGAACTCGTGACTCCAAGAGAGAAGGGATAACGGGTCGAACGAGCTAACCCGAACCCCCGAGTCGCGCTACGTCCCTATACAGATGAGTTTGTCTCTCTCTTGTCCCTTCCCAACCCTCCCCTACCCGCTACTCCGCCGACCCTAGCGCGGCTTTTCCCGTCTCTGCCCTACGCCGCTTCGCTCTTCTTGTCACGCTAAATCGTCCCGCATCCCGATCGCGTCCATCCTCTTTTCCCCACTCTGCTCTTCGCATCTCTTTACTTCTCTTCTCTTCTCTTCGCTACTCTTCTGTTCTCTTCTCTTCTCTGCCTAGCTTGTAATCGCCTTGTCCTTTTCCTCCGTAGCTCGCACCTTCTCCGCCGGTCGCGCTTGTCCGCCATCTTTATTCCACGGTTAGTCCCTCTCTTTCCATTCCGCTCTCACCAGGGCCGTTTCAGGGGCAGCCAATTACCCGGGGCACATTGGTACTTTCTACCGAGAATAAAGACGGAAAATCCGATTATTACGAAAATAAAAGTACTCAGCTTCGCGACGTGCCCCCTAATCAAGGAAATAACGATCAAACAAACGCGTTGGCCCGACTGCGTCCGTTACCTGTTCAAATACGATATTTACCAGACTGAACTTGGATGTGCTTTGTATGCAAATACCTTGGATATAGAACGCCTGTATCTATAGACGTGTGTAAATATAAATATAAAATATAAATATAAAACGTACGTATTTCTGTCTTGTTTGAGATAAAAACAACGTAGGTACATATGTATGTGCGTCTACAAGTATGTAGGAATTGTAGAACAGAATATGCTGTCACGATAAAGTTAATCCTTCTCAAATGTTATAATTTAACATAGCATATAGTGATAATTATGTACGTAGCGATACAATTTCCACAAATTAAGTTTATTATTATATAAAACACATAAACATTATGTGTTTGCAAAGGCGAGAATTTACATATGTATTTTATACGTATACTTCGAATCACGGTGTAGTTCAGTTTCGTCGAATTATTGGCTTATTTTCTCCAACATTTTCGAAACATTGCGAGGCACCGGTACGTATTGAGCCGGACCTGATCTTGCCCCATCTTATTTCCTCTGAAATCGCATCAAAGTCGTAGATTATGGCGTCGATCTAGTGACTGTGAATTTATGAGATTCACTGTTCCGTTTGTCTGTTACGTATCATATTTTCTTCTAATGGTTTACAACGGTTGTGCTCTATGATGTTAACTCGATTGGCAATAATACCAAACATCCGTTTGTTAGTATCAAGGTTAGAGAAAGCGATTTCCAACGAACTCGGATTACATACTTCATTCGAAAACGAAGACCGTTTCACGAGTGTTTCGCAGAATAATTCGTTGAGAATAATTCGAACGAGAAACGCCTATTACGTGTTCTGTAACGGTGATTTATAGTTACTTCCTAACACACTCACAGTATCCATATATAAAGATGTTCGTTGTATTCAATTTTAAACAGTACTTGCTATTAAATAGACGTACGATTCATTATGTATAACATACCGTCAGGGCAGTTTGTTATGTAAAACTTTCGTAAAGGTTATGTTACAGTATCATGTATTATTTTTAAATACGTATGTATATATTCGTGTATAATTATTTTCCAAATTTTTGGCTAACTTTTTATATTTCAATTTTATTGTGATGAAACAATAAAAATCTTATATAAAAATTTCAAACATTTCATGTTTCTCTACTTCAAACAAAAATTAACAAACGATATGGTTTAGACACTAATTCCTGGATCTTCCAAAAAAAAAATATCAGTTTAATCGTGTAAAATTTTGCAGAATCCATTTAATTGTACAGAAATTGGTTAGTTACTGCAAAAAATGTTGATAGGAATTAACGCTAAAACAATGTAATCAATTGGTATAATTGTGTTTAATATACTTGCGTAAATTTAATTTCGCGTTATGATGAACAATCCAGTTTTATTGAATTGCAATTAAAATGTTTTTCGTATGTTACGTATGTTCCGTTTCTCTTTTATTTATAAATTCTTTAAATATACTATTAAATATAAGCGATAGTGACGACATCTTCCAATTGAGTAAACTAATAATTATCTTGTAATCTTGCACTCAGTGCCATCTTTAGGAAGCACAGATATTACGAATTTATTATCTACCAACCATAAACACGGATCAAATTATTTCATCACATTTTGTCAGTGTCTGTGGTTTCATCATTGAATAATTAACCACAGACAAATCTGTGAATTAAATTCTATCTTTGCAATTAATCAATGGCATAGATGAAGTATGAAAGAGATGTGTTTTATACGCTATATTTTTTGATTTGGTAGAACGTAATGAAATAGTATTTTCTCAAACTAATTACCATTATATTCAATAAAATTTTTCTATTACAAATACTGCTTGAGGTCGAATTAACTTTCGTAATAAGGACAGTGTTACTGTTTTTATTGTTTTTGATAATTGACGACGAATGCGACATAATTCTCATACTTGTCTTAACAAATCACAGGGGGCGTAAAATACAAGACTTGAAATGTGAATTACATATGACGATACATTACTGACTAGTTGATAATCAATGGTTATATTTATATGCAACTACTCTGTTGTTAATCAATGATAATTACATATCGAACAAACAACATTGTTTACTTTATACAAACATTTTCATCCCTAATTTCTATCCTTTATCACTAGTTCTTGTATAACTGTAACACCTAAGTTCCGTAGTTCAACCTCGACATCTGTGTGAATCATATTTAATACATATATGTATTAAATTCATAATTTCGGCTTAGTTGTACATTTTGTCGCATATATAAGCTGAAGAGTCATGTCATTGCACGATAAACATTCAAACATCTCGGAACATTCAGAAGAACCATCCATTTTATCATTCGATGCGAACGAGCGAAAGTTGGCACGCAGACTTCGTATACAACGACGTATACAAGCACGAGAAAAGTAAGGATTGGATAAAATTTCAGTGTGCATAGATATATATTTCATATGGTAAACATACATGTGGCACATTATAAATTTCTTTCATCAAAGAAAGAGTAATGAGTGTTTATATTTTTATGTAAGACCAGAATCGGACAAGATAATTGTTTTTAATTATTTAGGTGTATTAGATGTCAGGTAATACATAATAAAAGTGTTAAATAGCGGTGCCGATTGCCGCGGGCAATTTGAACGTAATCGTACGTCAGATTTATTGATAAAGCGAAATAGTTGTCTCATGTAATTTTTGATACAGTTGTAATTATGTTGGAGAGATCGTGGGGATATAAATGTCTTTTCATACCGTTTTATAATGAAGATAGATGAATTAGATCACAAACTAATTCGGACGCATAATACAGAATTAGCTGGAATGTCATATGATCTTGCAATTATGAACAGAGTATGTTGCGAAAATATATCCAGACACGTTATATATCCTCGTAGACGTTATAGACACACTGCCTCTGAGGATTGAAAGGAATTTAATTTTTTGATGTTAGACAGATAAAAGATCAGGATGAAGAAGTCGAGGAAATAACTCCCATTGAGAAGCAAATACTCGATAGCATAGAAGCGTTGGAGAAGTTAACCACAGAAGGAGATGAAGTGGTACGTGCAATTTGAGTCTGAAATAATTACTTGTCAATTCTTTTGAGTACCTGAACCATAACCTAATATATAACCTAAACCATATTAATACCCATATATGAGTACCTAACCATAACCTAATATAACCAACCTAAACCATAATTAATATAAAATATAATTACTTCAGTATCAACGAATGATATTTCATCAGGTAACGTAGGTTGCAGGTGTTCGAGTGGCAAGCGACGCGAAAGAGTTGCAAAGACGAAAAGAGATGCAAGAGAAGAGAGAGGAGCTGTTAAAATTAATAGAAGAGGAAGGCCAAAGATCTATGGAAAAGTATCGTGAAATTACGGAAAAATGGCCTGATATACTTGCTTCGAAACACCCGCTGGACATTCACGACGAATTGGAAAAGCAAAATGCCAAATGCCTCGAGGTCCTGAAGAAGAAGGATGCGTTGATCGCGGAATTGAAAGAAGAATTGGACAACGCTGATTTACAGTATGCCGAGGACGTGAAGAAACAAAACGAGGATATTGATTTGCTCATCGAAAGAATGGAGAATCAAGTGGGTTTGTTCTTTCGCTAAGTAATTTCTTATGTACTTACCTCTGACGTATCATCGTTTCAGATACGAACGATGACCAAAGCTTATCGCCGAGAAGTAGAATTGATCGAAAGTGTCATCGAAATGGAGCGAAAGATGCTTTTGGAATCCTCTCTGGAGAAATGGAATGTATTATTTAAAAAGCTGAAAGATGATACGTTCAAAGCAACGGAGGAAAGAAAGGAAGTGATGCGTGAATACGAAGAGGAGATGCAGAAAGTAATGATAAAACACCAAGAAGAGTTTAGGAAGCAAAAGATCATGTTCGAGTTGGAAATACAGAATCTTCAGCAGGAAGTGCAAAATATGAAAGTCTTCTGTATGATGAATATTGAAAAATTAGATTATAATTATGCAGTGCTAAAACGACGAGACGAAGAAAACACTATCGTGAAGAATCAGCAGAAGAGGAAGATTAATAAGCTCGTATCAACAACTATTTGTAATTGTTTGTTCTAATCTATAATTGTTTATTATCTTGTAAATATATATTTACGTTTTCCATAGGCTTCAAGATGTTATTAATAACTTGAAAAAGACTTACTCAGATTTGGAAGAATCAACTAGAACAGATATTCAAAAGATCACGAATCAAATATTAAAGTCGCATAGAGCTATACAAGACTTGGAAGAGAAGTCCAACAATCTCGCCGAGATCAACGATAAAAAGTACATGCAAATATGGGATATGAATATTAAAACTGCAAACGAATTAGTCGATAAGGTAATCGTGTGATTAATTATAACGTATGATATAAATATAATATAAAATATAAGTACTATAACAGGTAGCAATATATAATTCATAAGGATAGCTCTGTTTGATAACTATATTTCAGATTTTGACGGCAGATAGAATTATACACGAACAGTTGTTAATAATGGAATGGCAGCCACCGGAAAAACAGTTGTTGAAAAAAGAAGAATTACCTTCGTTTTGCAGAGCAATGTGTGCCTTAAAAGCAGGTAAAATTTATCAAATGAGGATAAAGCATCGTCCTGTTAATATTTTCCTTTTTATTATCGTTTAAGAACAAGAGGAAGCTAAAAAGAGAAAAATGATAACCAAAACATACAAGCCAGCGACTACTTTAGAAGAAATTAATTTGGAACGGCGCTTATTAAATCATATTCTAAAACTGATTTCTGAACATTGTGACTACCTTATTGAAGATACTTTGAAGAATTTACTTTCTGATTATGCAGAAGAGGATAAATTATTGATTCGAGTGGATAAAGTATTCGAGGTGATCTTTGTCGTATAAACAATTGCGCTCTCGTGCCAAGTTGAGATATGAATATAATTGAATTTTTAGGCGCTAAAAATTACGTCCGAACAAGAATTTCAATTCTTATTGAATTTTTTCTTACCGTACGCGTATTGCCCCACTTGTACGACCAAAATTGTAAGTACACCCAGTGTTTGTGGACGGTCTGGGGAAATTGCTGAAAGTTCTTCGTCTTTGTACGTGAGAAATATTGTGGATCTTTAAAAAAAAGATCAGAAGGTTGATAGAAAATTTAATACAAACTATTGATAATATGAAATTATTTTAGGACCACTTTACTTGACGTTTGCGGCAGCGATACACTTAATGCGGAAGAAGCTAAATTAGTGACAGCTATGGAAGACGTACTTTGTTCTGAGGAATCACATGACGATGGACATGAAAGTGATATTGTTACAAATGAAAATGTACCAGAATCCTCTTCGATCGAAACACCGACTGTAAATGTACAAGTATCGACCTGTGTATCTGAAGGCATTATTGAAGTTACTAACAGTGTGTAACAAAAGTCGATATATCTTCAACATAGTTTTTTCACCGACTGTTATTTTTTTATTTTTTAACTTTTTTAACTTTTTTACGTGAAATTTACTTGTCGGAGTAAATTTCGGTGATATTTGTTCATGCAATAATCATGCAACTTATTGATTTTATTTTTCTAGCGGATGGCGAACCAAAACGATTATTAACATGCGACAGAGGCCATTTGTTGACGGTTGAAACTGAGATTGTTTCAAGTGCATTAAAAGATTTCGTGGAGAGATACGAGTTCGTTAGGAAAGAAACTTCGCCTGATAAAAAAATAATTAAAGAGAAGGTCACGATATCACGTAATATAGCGGACAACGATATAATTGATTTTTGGGAACGATATCGGAATATTTTTTCAAAAGACAAGGAAAGACTGTGGGACAATCTATTGGTTGGGCTTAAAAAGTATTATGAAGTGTTGAAAGAAAGACATCAATTAAATGCTGAAACACAATCGTTACGAAAACAGAATGCGGAAATGCGTCGTTTATTAAGCAGTTACACAACACAGGTAATATTAAAATAACGTAAATGATATTGCTAATTTATAATTATATCGGATATTGAATTTCAGCTTGAGAGCACATGAACAAAACAGAATGAAAAGAAAACGGAGTTTTGAAAATAAAATTTTCACGTTGCAGGATCAATGAAAGACTATAGCTTTTGTTATTATTATACTTACAACATTATGTATTTTTTCATTAATTTTTAAATGGACATATATACATTCGTACATTAGTACCTTTTCGCACTGTTTTATCTAATATCAAAGACAACCATTCACACATATGTAAATTTTTTTAAACACGACATCCGCACTTCGTTTCAACAATTTTCTAGAATTTTTCTTAGTTGATAAGTATACTTAACAAAAAACTTGTATCTTTCATCGAACTAATTGTGTTTTATGCATATTTACATCATTATTCCAAAGAAATAGTGCAAAGAGAGATTTACATCTTAACACGGCAGAATTTTAAACGTTTTGTGAATTAAAAAATTATATGTGACATCGTATGTATATTTATACTATATATATGCATATTATTTAATAACCAAAATTTAAATTTCAAATTGATTTCATTGTTTAAAGCGACACGATTCCAATATTTATACAAAAAATATCTTTGTATAAAGAATAAATGTATGTATTTAAATAATTCATACGTATATTAAAATAGAGATATTCATTCTACTACATTATTCTTCTACGTCTGATTTGTGAAACCTCCTGGTACAAAATTATTTGATAGCGATTGAACAAGATTCCTAGGATTTACGCCAGTTTTAGGCTTTTTCCAATATGGGAAAAATCTTTTCTTTTTCTGAGTTCCAGCTTGTTTTAATTTACTGGTATGTTTTTTCGATGTTATATGCTGCAATTAAACATAAATTACTATTAGATGGTCAATGATATTTGTTATTTATACTTTTTGCCAAGAACATACCACATTGTACTGCGTCAAAGAATTGAAGATTTTGTTGCACATGCTGCATGAAAGTGATACACCTTTAGATACAGAGTTTTCCTGGATATTTATAGTTGTCGATGCCACTGAACTGCCAACATCTTTGTCAGCCCACCCACCTAAGCATCAATGTGCGATCAACACTATCTATGTATCACAACCGCTGAAGCGGTTACGTGTGATAATAAATCAGCTTGAACACTACATTCATGCCATAGAAAAAGCAACCATTAATACAAACAATTTTTAACTGAGAACCACCATAAAATTTTAATGACGAATATGTACAGGTATGCATATAGTAAAATTTACCTTTTCAAAGTAACTATTTCAAAAATGTATTTATAGAATATAATTTTATCTAAAGTTTTTCAGTTCTATCATTTGTAGCAAATAATTGTAATAAGACATTTAACAATAGTTGAAAGAATTGATATGTACACTATACTTTGTATAAATGAAATATAGTTGAAGATAAATGGTTGTTTGCAAGCAACTGATTTTATTTCTAATTTAAAGACTGGATTATTTGATGTTATTTTCTTATAGAAGCAGGTTAGGAATTAGGATAAAAGAACATTATAAGAAATTAGAAAATGCATTTGCATGTTATACATTGTTAGAAGGAACATATGTAGTAAAACTGAAGAATAGGAGACAACTTATTAAACGATATTAATTTTATTAATCATAATGTGTAACTAATATGTAACTCGTTATTGAGTTATTTTATAACAATATGCAATTATTTATTTTATAAAAATAAATCAATAATAAATAATATACAATTTTCGTTTTATAGAAATAAATAACAATACAAAATAAATAAATAAATAAATAAATAAATAAATAAATAAAGAATAAATAGTAAATAATAAACAATAAACAGAAAATTATGACAGATATATTATAACAAACATGAAATATTATCACTAAGCTTTTCAATAGTGACTTTTAGATTAAAGCTTTCAAGCAAAATTAAGTTACCATTAGCTCATAAAAACAGGTGGAAAGCAAAAATAAGCAAGACTATTAAGCATGCAAATGTAAATACGAGTAAGCAGTAAATTAGTATAACAACATTCTTTTCTATTATTTTATCCATACACATAGTGCGACTAAATTTAAACCCATATGGTAGCGGTTTTCGTACCATATAAGGTTTATTACCTCTCATGGCTTTCTTTTTGTGCCGGCTTCCTACAGAAAATGAAATTTATTTAATATGTTAGAAACACGTAAGCGAAACTAAATAACTTTCAATTTTTAATATACCATTTAAATGTGTTTGAAGTTGTTGTATTGAGTTTAGACACACATTACACACATTGCATTTCAATCCATTTGTTTCTTCATCTTTTGTAAATGCTACTTTGGTTTCTTCAAGAGATGCCATTATATTTTTGGATCTAATCTGCAAAACAAGAGTGTGATCTCTAGATTTCTGATTTGAGGTTTTTTTTATCAAAATTTATAAATGATCTCTTTTTTTTTTTAATTGCATGTGTGTTACCTCATACTTCAACTTTTTATTTTTTTTTTTTACGTTTAATTGTTTTAGTTTTATTTGTTGTTTCATTTGTACAAACCTGTTTGGCATGTCGTGCTCCTTGTAAATGTGTATCTAATACTGTTTGGCTGGTAAACGAGAGATCACAATCATCACAGCGAACAAGGGGTTTCTTCGTAGGCAAGTTTCCCATTATATTATCTACCACCGCTTTGGTTACAGGGTCATTGAGGCCAGGATTCATTACACTTTCTGAGGATACGGCCATTTTTAAAACTAGAAAAAAGATTGACACATTAAACAAATTAGCAAATTTATGAAAGTAAAACTACAATTAAGTATGTAACAGTATCTAGAGTATACGATCAAATATCATCTCTCGATAATGTAAAAAATGAAATTGTGTTTGCACATTAGTATAATCATACTGAAACTGTGACGGTTACAACTGTTTCAAAGTTGCAACAAATATATATATATATATATACGGAGTGTATACTACTTTGAACTAGAAATGATTATTATTAACATTGTAATTATGTTAACTTAAATATACCCACATACATATACAGGATACGTATGCACGCACATGTAGAAATTATTCAATTGTACATTGTTCAAGCGTACCTCCTATCTATCGAGCTTTGTACAT